CTTTCTGTTCTCTGAAGCAGGAGGGGAGAGCAAGATGCCACCAGGACCGGCGTAACAGCGTAACATATGCGGCAGGTGAGGGGCCATGCTCTGTTCGGCAGCGCGCGGTCCTTCTGCTCCGCGCGCCGCGCCCCAAAAGCGCAAGGAAAACGAGAGGAAGCCGTGGAGGGCGGAGAAAGCCTTGGGAGGAGGAGCGAGGAGAAAGAGCGAGCGAGGACCGGGAGGAGGAGAAGGGCGAGCCAGAAGAATGCCGATGAGGGCACAAGTGAACCACTGGCGCCCATGCCGTGTATAAGGACACTCGCGTGGCTCCGTGAACCTGGAGAAACCTCATGCCAAGTTCGCGGTGGCAACAGAACGAGCAGAAGTGCTGGTGCGCTGAAAAGCTGGGCTCAAGGCCACCAACTCCTCACATCCAGCTGGCTGCGTGGTTGCGTCCTGATGGTCGTCCTCTCCCAGCAAGCCCCCCACGGGGAAGCCAGCTTTCCGCAGATGCTTGACGTAGAAGTTCAGATACAGGGTACCGCCTTGCGTTCGCCCATGAGCAACTTTGACCTCGACGGAGCCAAGAGCGAACCATCCCGAATTCTCATTGACACCACTGTGCGAGTCGAAGTGGTACCCTCCTGCTTGCTTGGCCTCTGCCCACAAACCTGTCACATTCAGTGCTTGGAAATACATATCCGCGCAACTTCCACCGAATCGACGCGCCTCGGCCTGGACTCGAAGCAATGCGTTTTCGGCACTGATTCCACGAGGAATGTTGATTAGAATATGGCTGCCCGTCTTCATTAGATCGAACCGCTCCCCAAAAATATTCTGCAGGTGTGGATCTCCAATGGCAGCAGCGCCATTTTCTGGACTGGGCGTCGGGCTGAGCGTCGGACTTTGCGTCGGGCTGGGCGTCGGGCTTGGCGTCGGGCTGGGCGTCGGACTTTGCGTCGGGCTGGGCGTCGGGCTTGGCGTCGGGCTGGGCGTCGGACTTGGCGTCGGGCTGGGCGTCGGGCTGGGCGTCGGACTTAGCGTCGGGCTGGGCGTCGGGCTGGGCGTTTGACTGGCCTCAAGTTGAAACGCGATTTCCCGAATATATGGTTGGTAACCTGTGCCTGTTTGCGTGATCACCAATCGAAGATGTTGCACTGGGGAGCCGTAAGCGATGGCAAAATCCTGCGCGCTACTAGTTCCGATGGCCACCGATCCCAACGAAGCAACAACCGTGTTGAATGCTCCACCTTGCGTCGTCGACGCGTAAAGCACAGCCGTTTTTACATCATGTGTCGTATCGCCCCAATTTTGGATTCGAATACCTTGCACCGTGCACTCCGAGCCAATCCGCCACCGTGACCCCTGGCACGTCCAGGCGTGCTAGAATGCCAAGTGTTGCCTGATAGGGATATGGCATCTTCTAGACCCCCCCCCCCCTCTCGTCGCACTGGGTTGCATGACCCGCCTCCATCCCGAGGCCACAACCCCCAGCACGAGAACAAATTCGCGCCCCCGAGGCCAGGGTGCCTTCAAGACGGCCCAGCATGGCTCCAAGACGACACACGTTGGCCTCGCGACTACCCAAGATAGGCTCAAGAGACGCCCCAAGAGGACATCGAGAAGTAAATGTCAGTGATGTTCATACGGGTTTTCTATGTGTTTGGGGTTCTCACGTGTTCGAGCTTCCGACGTCCCAAGGCGACCGAAGAGGCCCCCAAGACTGGCCCGAGACTTCCCCCACATGGCCGAAGAGGGCCCCGAGAGGGCCCCAAGACGGCCAAGAAGGCTCCAAGACGGCCCAAGAGGCGCCCAAGACTGCCCAAGAGGGCCCAAGCATTGCCTCAAGAAGGGCCCAAGACGGGAATACGATCCGACAATGCGAGCCTTCCGCCGCAAGAAGTCACAGGAGGCCCCAGGAGGCTCAAAAGGGGGCCCCGAGAGGGCTCCAAGGGGGGGGCCGAGAGGCAAACATCATTTAGTTTTCCTGGGTGCCTCAATGTGTTTTGGGGGGTTCTCGCCTTTTCGAACTTCCGACGCTCTAAGACGGCCCGAGAAGACCGCAAGACTGTCCCGAGGCGGCTCAAGAGGCCCCCAAGGGGGCCCCAAGACGGCCTGAGAGGGCTCCAAGACAGCCCAAAGGGCACCGAAGACGGCCCAAGAAGACTCCAAAACAGTCGCAGGAAGGGCCCACGAGGGGGGAACACGAATCGACAACCCCAGCCCCCCACCCAAAGAGGCCACCAGGAGGCCCCAAGAGGCCCAAAAGAGGCCTTCCAGGAGGCCTAAAACTGCCCCCGAGAGGCCCAAAAGATGCCCCAAAATAACCCAAACGAGGTCCATGAGGGCTCCTGAACTGAAGACGGAAAGTGTCACATGTGACGGCACTCCCTCCTCCTCCTCCTCCTCCTCCTCCTCCTCCTCCTCCTCCTCCTCCTCCTCCTCCTCCCCCTCCTCCTCATCCTCCCCCAACTCCTCCTCCTCCTCCTCATCGGCGTGATCGTCGTCGTTGCCGTCGCAATATCAGCATCATCATCATCATCATCATCATCATCATCATCATCATCATCATCATCATCATCATCATCATCATCATCATCATCATCATCATCATCATCGTAATCATCATCATCATCATCATCATCATCATCATCATCAGCATCATCAGCATCATCATCATCATCAGCATCATCATCAGCATCATCATCCTCATCATCATCATAATCATCATCAACATCAGCATCAGCAGCATCATCATCATCATCATCGTCGTCATCATTAATTTCGTCATCATCAGCATCAGCATCATCATCATCATCGAAATCAGCAGCAGTATCATCGTCATCATCATCATCGTCATCATCATCATCAACATCATCATTATCATCATCATCAACACCATCATCGCCATCATCAACAGCAGCATCATAAGTATCATCATCGTCATCATCGCCATCATCAGCATCATCGTCATCCTCATCCTCATCCTCGTCATCATCCCCATCATCATCATCATCATCAGCATCACCACCAACACCATCATCATCAGTGTCATCATCATGATCAGCAGCACCATCATCAGCATCGGCAGCAACAGCATCAACATCAGCATCATCAGCATCAACATCATCAGCATCATCATCATCATCCACATCATCATCAATATCATCAGCATCATCATCAGTACCGTCACCACCAGCATCAGCGTCATCATCAGCATCAGCCTTACCATCAGCAGCAGCATCGTGAACATCATCATCAGCATCAGCATCGGCATCAACATCATCATCATCAGCATGAGCAGCAGCAGCAGCACCATAAGCAGCATCATCATCAGCATCATCATCAGCATCATCATCAGCATCATCAGCATCATCATAATCATCAGCATCATCATCATCCTCATCATCAGCATCGTCGCCACCACCACCATCATCATCAGCATCAGCATCGTCGTTATCATCAGTATCAGCATCATCACCATCATCAACATCAGTCGCATCACCGTCATCGCCATCATCTGTAACAACAATCCTATCATCATTATCAGCATCAGCAGCATCAGCAGCAGCAACAGCATCATCATCAGTAAAGCCAGCATCGTCGTCATCATCGTCAGTATCACAATCAGCAGCATCATCAGAATCATCATATCAGTATCATCATAATAATCACCACTATCACCATCTCATCACTGTCAGCGTCATCGTCATTATCATCGGCATCAGCAGCAGCAGCCGCAGAAGCATCATCAGAGTCATCTGGAGCGTCAGCATCATCATCAGCAGCATCATCGTCATAAGCAGCATCATCATCATCAGCACCAGCACCATCACTATCACCACCATCATCAGCAGTATCCTCATCATCAGCATCAGCATCCTCGTCATCGTCAGCATCGCCATCAGGACCCTTCTCATTATCAACATGGTCAGCATTATCATAATCACCCTCATCATCATCAACCACAACAGCATCAGCAACGTCACCATGATCATCGTCATCAGCGGCAACAGCAGCATCAGCACCATTAGCATCATCGTCATCATCAGCATCATCACCATCAGTTGCATCATCGTTATCATCATCGTAGTCTTCATAATAATCAGAAGCATCATCATCGTCATTGTCATCATTGTTAGCAATATCATCATCATCGTAGCATCCTCACTTCATGATCGTCATCGTCACCATCATCAACATCATCACCACCACCAGCATCATCCTCTCAATCGGTATCACCAATATCAGCAGCAGCATCATCAAAGTCTTCGTCGTCGCCGTCATCATCATCATCAGCATCATCATCGGCATCATCATCATCATCAGCATCATCATCACCATCGCCCATTACGGTATCACAGACTTGGAAGACCCACACAACATCCAAAAACAGCCGAAGTGTCAGACGTGACGGCGACAAGTACATACCTTGCTCCCAGAAAACCCCCAAGACGGCCCTACGAAAAGCGCGCCACGTGTCACGGCACTTCGAAGACCGAAGATACAAAATGCCAGACGTTGGAACCTCCGTGCTCCCTCGCGCACACAACGAGAAAACTGGGCTGGTACGGCGGCGGGATTTGCCGCAGGCAGCTGAATATTAAATTCGATCCACCATTTGTTGTAATATCTACCAAGACCGCCTCCCCCTGCATTCCACATCGTGTTCGTATCACCATCCATAGTCAGTGTCCCGACTTGAGTACTGTACGCTGCTACCCAGCCAACGACCCAAGACGTGTCTTGTGACCATGAGGCTGTTTCCATGCCGCGCTTTTTGACGCCGACGATCTCGAGCTTGCCCGAGCTTGTCGAGTTGATATATCCGCTGCTGGTCGACACTTCCTGGGTCATGGGCACCACATGCAGAGCGGCCCCTCCTCCGATTGAAGACGCCATCAGAAAGACGGTGACCAGTAGAGGGCGGACCATTGTGACGGAACGGCCCGACCCGCAACTAACCAGAAACAGATAAAGTGTGCGCTCACTGACGTAGACTCCAGCTGAAGGAGCAGCTCGAATCAAAATGCTATGGACCCAAAACGGCCTCGTGGGACGTGTAAGTGGGCACTCGGGCCGTCCTGGAACCTCCTGGGCGGGGCCTGCAAAAGCTTCGGAGAGGCCCCAGGAAGGGGAAGGGCCGCGTACTGCGGTCTGGGCGCCCTTGATGGGGGCCCTGGGGTCAACGAGTTTGAAGGGGGTTGGAGGCCCAACCAGCAGCTTCGCTAAGGCGAAGCCCATGTCCAACTCTATTGTACCGTAGTAACGATAGTTCCAAGACTGGGAGTGAGTCGCGGGAGCGACGAGCCATGTCAAGCGAAGATGTTTTCGGTTTCGATGGCGAATGGCGTGCCTCGCGATGAGGCACAGTCATGTCTTGGCGGCCGGCCGCTTGAGTACAAACGGCCGCGGACAAACGCTCGCCATCTCTCGCCTTTGCCCCACCCTCCTTTAGAGTCGGGGTGGAGGAGACGAAGCGTGAGTCCGCCGCCCGCTGTACAATAAACAAGATATACACAAGGTAGGCAGCAGCAGGCGGGTTCAAAAGGAAGGTTGACCCGCACGCAAGTGCCCTTGCAAGCAAGTTGCCTTGCGGACAGATCGCCTTGCAGGCGATTGCCCTTCAGGCAGCCTCAGACGACTGTGCATGGCCAACCCTGTACGGAGTATGGCGTTTGAAGTCGCGTTTGAAGGATCGCGTTCCTCCCTTGACCTGTAAGAGCATATATCAGTCGATGCTCCCTTTGGTGTGGCCGTCCGCAGTCATGTCGCGAGTGACACACCACTGTATACGATGTGTCCCAGAAGGATACACCTGGTCGGTTTCTTCAAGTCTTTGCTTCGCAAGGACTTTGAAGACAGATTCCGCATCTATGGTCGAAGTGACCTTAATGTTCAGGCCACCCATCTCCTGTATATCCTTCAATTGAGAGGGTGTCAGCGGCCGCGCGTGGTGTTCGTGCAGAGTGGCGA